AAGAGGAGGAGGAGGAAGAGGAGGAGGAGGAAGAGCAGGAGGAGGTGTTAGTGAAGGGGCCTCAGAAACAGGAGGAGGGGAAGTTTGTGAACTGCAAAATAAAAGCGTGAAGAGAGCGATAGAGGACATGACTCAGATGGTTCTGCTTTATAATCACCATCATTATGTTGTTGTTGTTGTTGTTGTTAGTGTGAGCTGTAATACGCACTGATACTTTAACTCAGAAACATTGTTCAAACTGATCAAAGCACATTTGAAGTGACACTAACTTAGTTTTATAAGTTACAGAAATATTAGTAAGTGCTTTTAAGTAGATATTTATTAAAAAGTAAAAAAAAAAAATTATATATTTATTTCCTCTAGAATAAAAAGATATTTTAAATTTTTTTCATATTTAGTTACATAAAAACATGTTTTTTAATAAAAAATAACTTGTTTCAAATAGTTGTACAACTTTATTTATGTGAACACAACTCAAAAATAATGTTTGCAACTTAAAAAGGTTTATCTAAAATCAATAAATTTGAACTTATTGATCTATTGATCACACTTAAGGAGAGTAAAGTATTTTCTCCTCTAATGTAAGAATATTAAAACATATCAGGTTTAAATTAAAGGGGAGAAAATCTCACCCTCAAACGGCAAATTACTGTTTTCTCTTTGCTCGTTTATTCGCCCAGAATGAAGAATTAATCATTTACACATCATCTTTATTTGAGCTTCGACTGGCGCTCTGATGATTATTATATTTATTTCATCCGGTTGCGTCCTCTTCTTCTAATAAACAAGCATTTATTTGTCATATACAATCATACACTGTACAATCTGGGGGTCGGGACCCCCACTAGGAGTCGCCAAAGCTTCATGGGGGGTTGCGAGGCCTTCTTGATTTTAAATGTTGTAAGAGAGCTTAAAAAATATACACAGACACTTAAATATTTAGAATTCTATGTTAAACTGTTAGAGGTGTTGGTAGGTTAGGCTAGCAGTTTCCCCCTGCTTCCAGTCTTTATGCTAAGCTAGGCTAACAGAGTCCTCACAGACATATTTGAACTGTTCCTTTAAGATCTACATATGTGTATGTGAACCAGAGTAGAGAGATGAAAGCATGTAGAGCAGTGTGGGTGTGTGTGTGGGTGAGGGGAGGGGGAGGTAATCAGCTGAATTATCAGCGCTGTGGGATAATTAATCATAAAGAGCTCGCTGAGGCGTTGAGAACCTTCCAGTAATTACACTGGGCCAAAAACCACAGACCAAAGCCGGGGACGAGTCTTTGAGGGAACTTCTCGTTGGCGGCGAGCTGTCGGCGCTTTCTGCTCGACAGGTGATCCTAATGAGATAAATGGTTACCAGCTCCACCGGCACGCCGCTAACTACCGTCCCCGACGCACACGATTACAGCTCAGCACGAAGTCTTGTCCTATAACACTCTCTGCTGCACTGATTTAGATTAGAAATAAATACAAACAATTATCAAATAATATCAAATGTTTAATTTTAATGTAGAAAACTAATTAAAAGAATTAAATCACTGGTTCACAACCTTTTTCTATCATTTATTAACCTGACTCAGTGACTTATTTTATGTTTATTTCATATTAAATTAAAAACAATGAACCCAAACAGTGAATTTGGATGAATTATGAGCAGATTATTTCCTGTTTAGGTAACTTTTTATACAATTCTGTATTAAGTATTTATTATTATTTTTAACAATCATACAGATTTAATAAGCTTCTTTTTTGACAAATTCAGTGTTTTCTTCTCACTGACACTTCAGCTGCTGTTCTACTAAACAATTTACTTTTACTTATACTTGATCTTGAGGTGAGCTCTGCAGTCCTTTGCTGACCTCTGGTGGCAGACTGAGGTACTGCACTGTGTCAACATTCAACACACAGGACAGAGAGGCTTATAGCCTTATTTATGATCAATTAATTTCAGTCTCTGATCAGTTGTAACACTTTTAATCTTCACATACATTATTTCTTATTATTTATCTATTTTTGTGTTTTGTTTTGGTGAAAAAAAGACTGAATTTAACCAAAAATATCATCAATCATAAACTACAGGATATAAACTTTTTTTAAAAATACAAACGTGTGAAATTGTCAGTTATCTTACTGAATTAAAAGTGACACTAACAGAGTTTTGTAAGTTTTGTAACTATATATAATTATTTGTTTATAACACTCATATAGAGGCATCAGCATTAAACTGAATTAAAAGTCAAATTAAAAACTCCCTGTAGTTGGATGTAGGTATCTTTACACTTTAATATCTGATCTGAGTTCTTCTTCCACCTCTGACGTTCGCAGTATGAAACACTGACCTCCTGCAGACAGAGAGCAGCAGCAGTGGTCAGATCGAACTCTTCCTCCGTCCATCTGACGGTCCACTCAACTCCTCATCAAACCCTGACTTTAAACCTCCTCAGGAGGCCCCGTCAGTTCACCTGTGTGCCTCCACACTTCCTCCTGTTCTCTCATTGGTCAAGAGACCTGAAGTAAAACAACCAGCAGGAGAGCGAACACTCAGCTGTACAATGTAAAGAACATTTAGCTGCTTCAGTTTCCAGCCAGAGAGAGGAAGTATTCAGATACTTTACTGAAGTAAAAGTACTAAAAGCACCCTGTGGAAATACTCCACTACCAGGATCAATCCTCCATTCAGTGAGTTATTATTATATCGGATGTGTTTGGATTAATATTCCTGCTGCATGAAAGTGTTAAAACTGCTACTGTTGATTGATTTGAACTGTATCGCTGTACAAAAACCACCCAAACAAATGTCCAAATTCTGTATAAAAACAGGTTTTTACCAGCAAAAGAAAGTTTTTATAAAGGTTTTTTCCAGCAGATGACGATGGTCCATAATATAAGAAAACGACTTTATTCCGTATAAATTCCTTTAAAATGTCTTATGAATAAATGTTTTTGCTGTGAGATATTTAGTTTACTGTCATTGTTTCTCTAAAAAGTCAAAAACAGTTTTCAGCTTTGTGACGATGCTCGTCCAAGAAGGTTTTTATAATAATTTATTTTATTTAATAATTAACCCATAAAGGGAAACTTAAAGATAAAAACGTGTATCAGTGACATTTGTTAATCTCTCTCCTTATTTCCTGTCTTCTCTTTAGATAATAAAAGCATCAAATCAATATCAAAAAGACTTTAAAATAGTTACATTATTCTTAATAGTGCTTTTATATTTGTACTTAGATTTGTCATCAATACACCTAATATAATATATTATATATATATTTAGATATATATAGTAATATTACTGACAGACAAGAATAAGATATAATATTAATAATAAAATAAATAAAAAAAAAACACCTTTTGGGACTTTAGGGCCTCCGTACTTCATCCTTCAGTTAATCACAGAAATAAAAAATCACTAAATTTTAAGATTTGAAGGTTTTAACTCGACAGGAAGAAGATGAAAAATATGAAAAGTAACTAAAGCTGTCAGACGAGTATTTTCCTCTGAGATGTAATGGAGTATTTGTAGTAGTACTTAAGTAAATGTACTCAGTTACATCCACCACTGTCAGTTTCAGGGTCCTACTCTTTAAATGTTATCAGTGACTTTACAGTTTATGATCACGTCTAATCTGCTTTAGAATAAATAAAGTTAGTGAATCTTCACATCGTGACCACATGGCGAGGAAAAGGACACAGCACGCCTTTTTTTTACTCCTCTACTGCAGCCATTGTCTGTTTTTCAGTCCCTCCAGGAAGTTATTTCAACAATAACACAAATTCTGCCTGATCAATCAAATCAAATCCGTCCAATCAGAGCAGTCCCTCAAGTGCCCCAAAAAAGGCTCTAAAGTCCTGAAATGTATGAATAATTTATAAATATTCTCAAATCTTTTCGTCCAAAGCAGGAAAATGATATAAATCACTCATTTTCTACATTTATTAACCCTTCAGTTGCTCTGTGTTACCTCCAAAGTGTATAAAGAAAATGAATAAAATATCAAATCTGTTTATGTTGACAGATGTTTGTTTCAGGTCTCACACACACATACACACACACTCTCTCTCACACACACTCTCTCTCTCTCTCTCTCACACACACACACTCTCTCTCTCTCTCTCACACACACACACCCTCTCTCTCTCACACACACACACTCCTTCTCTCTCAACCCTCTCTCTTCTCTCTCTCTCTCTCACACACCCACACTCTCTCTCACACACACACACTCTCTTCTCACACACACAACAAACACACCATCTATCTCTTTCACACAACACCACTTCTCTCAACACACTCTCTCTCTCTCACACACACACTCTTCTCCTCTCACCACACACACTTTCTCTCTCTCACAACACAATCTCTCTCTCTCACACACACACTCTCTCTCTCACACACACACACTCTCTCTCTTCACACACACATCTCTCTCTCTCTCTCTCTTCTCCCTCTTCACACACACACACCTCTCTCACACAACACTCTCTCTCTCACACACACACACCACAACACACCACTCTTCTCTCTTATCACACCACACACACTCTCTCTCACACTACACTCTCTCTTCTCCACACACCACTCTCTCTCTACACACACCACTCTCTCTCTCACAACACACTCTCTCTTCTCTTCTCTCTCCCTCTCTCACAACACACACACTCTCTCACACACACTCTCTCTCTCTCTTCAACACACACACACACACACTCTCTCTCTATCACACAAACACTTCTCCTCTCTCCTCAACACACACTCTCTCTCTACACACACAACTCCTTTCACACACACACACTCTCTCTCTCACACACACATAACACACACTTCTCTCTCTTTCTTTTTCCCTCTCATCACCCGGCACACACACACTCTCTCTCTCCCTCCCTCTCTCACACACACACACATCTCTCTCTCTCACACACACACTCTCACTCACTCTCTCTCTCTCTCTCTCACACACACACACACACAGTGACCCCAGAAAAATAAAGCAAATCCAGCATCTGGGCTTTATCACAAAACAGGTTTAATTTAATATCTCTTTATTTTTTAAAATAATTAAACATTTGTATTTCTCCAACCCTTTTTTATCTTTTTTTCAGTTTTTAAATCATATTATATTCCGGGCCGTTCTAAAGCACACATTAATCCTGCGAGGGAGGAGGGGGGAGGTTCGCCGTCCAACACTCCCAACAACAGGGGGGAGGGCAACGTGGTCTGCTCCGTGCCTTCCCTCTCTACTCCCCCCTCCCTCCCGCTGACCCTCGACTCCCTGCCTACCTGCCCTCACCCTCACCACCCTCCCCTCCCTCCCTCCCCAACTAAAAAAAATATATCCAATGGTCAAAAGAAACTTCATCAAAATATCCAAAATGAGATAAAAACCAAGAGAAGGGGGAGGAGTGAGAGACAGAAAAGAAAAAACAGACTAAAAGGGGGGGAAACACTATCATAAATACCAGGAAGTCTTGTTCCATAATACCTCTTTATATACTGGATACTCCTCTCCACAGTTTCCTAAGCAAAAAACAATAGGCTAAATTACTACAAGATACAAGATTATCAGTGTACTGCATTCAATAACAATGTACAGGGTTGTCTTTTTTTGTCACTGTTGTTGTTGTTGTAATACTGTGAAGTCAACGCGGCGCCCCCCGGTGGGCGGAGGGAGGAGGAGGAGGAGGAGTTGGGGGAGGTGAGGTGAGGCGGGGCGCTCGTCTTTTCACAACAGGGAGGAAGATTTTTGGCGCTCCTCTGAAGACTTTTTTTTTTTTGTTGTTGTTTTTATTTGTAAGTCCCCGTTATGTCCGGAGGGTATCAGTGCCAGACTGATACCAGGGATACCTGGTATGGTAGGGAGGGAGGGAGGGAGGGAGGGGTTGGAAAAAGGTTGTTTTTAAAACAAAAAAGTGATGAAGAGTAGTCCATCGTTTTTGTGGAGGAGGAGTTGAGTGCGTTTACAGGCGGACTCGAAACCGGATCAAGAACCAGGATGTGATATTCAGGCCTGGAGCTGCGTGTCGGGGGGGAATGTGAAGTAAAACATGAAACTAAATGATATTCGATATACTTCTGCTCCCTTAGTTCCTCGTTTGATACATCAGCTGCTTTAACTCGTTGGTTAATGTAAAGAAACTTTATGATTGTGGTTTATTTCAGATTATTCTGATACGTGTCGTTGTAGATTCAACCACCAGATGGCGCCAAAGTAAAAGGTAAAAAACCTTCTAATGCTACACACATATTGGTCTTATCCTTTTATTGTATGAACCCCAATTTTATTAGCATCTATAGTTAGCATTTATACAAAACTCATATTTACATTATGTAATTACTTCTTTATGTAGCAGTTTTTAATCTTTAGTGGCGGAGTCCGCCAATTCCTGCTCGGGATTTAATTCACATGAAACGATGAGTGCACATCGATTTTTACACAGCTGGTCATTTTCATGTCATTGAAAGAAAAGTTCAGCATTTACAGATCGCTTTCATACAGCTGTGTCAGGTCAACACGCGGAGGCTTTTATTGTGAAGCAGCCACACAGGAAATGCAAAAATCAAACAGGTTTCTTCTCTTCAAAGTAGCTTCTCAAGGTTTCTTTGTAGTAAAAGCTGAAGTCTGGGAACCTGCAGTAACCACAGATATAAATCTTTAAGGGATTAATTGTAAAGTTTTGAGGGTGAAAAAGGTAGAAACACTAAACTGAAGGAAATAAATATATTGAGCACAAGAATTAATAACCAAACAATTTAACAAACGCATGTAAACGCACTCAGAGAGGAGACGGTTGTAGTGAGAAAGGTCTAAATTTTGTTCAGTTTTTTCTTTCCCCGTTTAAAACAGGAAGTAGAACCTGTAGACAGGTGGGTGGGGCCAGAGAGGGGAGAGAGGGGTGAGGAAGGGGGAAGGAGGGACTCATTATCAGTCCGGACGTCCCACAGGGGCGGGGGGCAGAAATGACAGATTCACCGTTAAGAGAGGAGGAAGGGAGGGAACAGAAAGATGGAGGCAACGAGAGGAAAAGCAAAGAGGAGAACCAGCAAAATAAAAATTACACACAGGACCGTACTGAGGAAGAGTGGGATGAAGAGTTAAAATCAATCTATCTTCTCTTTTTTTGTTGTTTTTTGTTTTCCAAGAGTTCATTTCTTGTCCTACAGTCCAAAAGTTGTTTTTTTTGTTTAGATTCCCCTCGCACACAAGTCATTTTCTCATTTTCTATTTTTTTCTTCCTTTTTTTTATTATTATTGTTTTGTTTTTGTTTTTTTTTCCGTTTGCAATAATATCAGTTTAGGGAGAAAAAAAAAAAACAAAGAAAAAAACAAAGAAAAAAATAATTATTTACAGTGCTGTTGAAATAATGAAAACAGACGTGATGAATCTACTGTAAAGTAAGTCGCACAAACACAGGAGAAAAAAAACATAAGAAAAAAAAAACAATTAAGAAACCAGCGGGCGCTCCGTGTCGGTCCAGAGACGATGGCCTGTATCGGGGATTTCTCAGAGCTCTGGGCAGACATGGCTGATGTGGAGGGGGGGGCTCAGGGGGGTTGGGGTAAGGATAGAGGGGAGGGGGAGTCACAGGGGGAGAGAAGGGGGAAGGGGCGGAGGGGAGCGCGGCGCTGTCTTCGTTAAGTTGGGATGATCCCGTCGCTCCTAAGGCCCCGCTTCAGCTCCAAGTCCTCCAGCTTCTTCCACAGCTCCTCCCGCTCCTTCTCCTTCTTCTTCTCACTGAAACAAACAACAACAACAACAACGACGAGTGTTTACTGAGTGTTTACTGAGTGTTTGAGACACTGTAGCCTGGTTCCAACACGATCTCTTCAGAGGGGTCCCGTTAAGAGTTACGGTGTTATTTTCCCACACAGACACGGTACCTCGTACTGAACTCAGTCAGTGAACTACAGAGAGCCACGGTCCCTCTGAAAACACGCTTTGTGATATTTTGGAGGGGTCTCTAAAATACTGACAGTATGAGCCCCTCCAGGATTTAGCTTTTTCTGGGATTGTTGGAGCCTAAAATGTCTTATTTAAAAAAAAAAAATACTAAGAATGATGATGTTTTTAGGGATTTCTTTGCAATGAAAATGTAAAAACTTGTTCCAGTGAGAATAAAATCGCAGAGAAGTAAGTTAGGACTGAATATTTTGTGCAGGAAACTACAATGACCGAACTAAACACTAAAAAGTGCTATTTCTTGCCATGCATTTCTTTTTTTTTTTCTTCATCATCATCGATTATGTGTAAACTTTTGATACTATTGATCACTAAATCACTAATTCTTGCCATCACCACTGAAGTCTGACAGCACAATATCATTAACTTCAGAGTTCACTGCTTACGGTGTTCAACTGCCACCACTGACAAGAGTCTACAGCCATGCTAGCAGCCCCGAGCTGAGCTATTAATGAGGATTCTCCTATTATTGTGATTATTGGTAAGAATTGTGGGTATTTCGCTGCTTCTGAAGGGGGGGACCAGAAAAGCTTTAAGCACCACTCCATTAGTGTGTAGTGATGCTACAGTTACAGCTGAGGCTGCACATTTAATGTGATCTGAACATTGATCAAAATAATCCCGCCTTCAACCCGAGGATGATGGGAATGTTATGAGTTGTTGCAGGTGTTTGATGATAAACCAAAGTATTGAAGAAATTACCAGTTTGACCTGCTGGTGGATCTTAAGGAAAAGTTTTTAATTCATTCAACTTTTCATGATAATTCATCCATTACAAGCACACGTTTCAACCTCATGGTGGAGCTCTGAGTAAAGTCAGTAGGATTCATTCATTTCCCATCAACCCATGCAGCAGATGTTGAGATATTTCAGTGTCTGGACCAACAGTTACATTTACACATTTTAAACTGATTAAAGATCAGCACTCTGCTTCAGTGAACTTTGAATCTTAATTGGCCAATAAACCAAACCTAATCACGTCGTCAGTGTGTTCTCTTCATTAAGCCTGTAAGACATTAACTTCCTTTAGTGAAACCGCCTCTCCTCTCGTCTTCCTGCTGCTCTTTTCTCAACCTCAGCTAATATTAATGCTGATGTTTGTGATGATAGTAACACCGCTGTCCCTGCAGGGATCATAAACCATCACATTAATCCTGAACCCTCAGTCGCTGTTGATGGTGTGAGTGCGAGCGCCTTCTCACCGCTGGCGGTCCGACTTGTAAGTGGCTGTGAGTTCATCAAATAAGGTACTGTTCATCTCCATGAAGGCCTTCAGTACGTTGTACACCAGCGCCACGATCGCCCTGCGAGGAGGGGAGAGAGAGAGAGAGA